GGGGGGGGGGGGGGGGGGGGGGGGTTGATTCAACCACTCAACCACTAGATGTCGCTGAAAACAAACAATTCTACACACTGTGCCTTTAAACTCTCACAAATGAGCATAATTCCTGGAAACTTTGGAGAAAGTGTGAGAAATGCCATATGAAAGAGTCTTCAAAGCTGGATAGGTAAAAAAAAAACTACAGGCTCTCAGCTGAAATAATCTTGCCTTAAATAAAAGTCTTGAACCCACAAATCTTTCCAGCTAATCTAGTTGCATATATTTCTATTTTTGGTATTTTGTAAATATATTTTTGTATTTTTAACAATGTTGTAAAAGAAGTTTTCCATCACAAACAACATTTTATGAGGGTACAATCACATCACGCTTAATAAAGTCTTTAAATGATAGTAAAAGATGTTCCCCTTGTCCTTTATTGTTCTGAGTGTTGTTGAAGGTTGACCAGCAGGTGGCGACATATCACAACTTAACCTTTTGTTATAAAAGAAAGAGAAATTTTCAAGTTTTTCTTCAAAGTCGCTAAGATGCCAGAACAATTAAAGTCCAGATGATGATGATGTCATGTCATTTAGAAATTTTTAATTGGTTAGATGACAACAGTTGACTCAACTGAAAACACACCTGTATATATGTTTTAAGGCAAACACGGTGCTTCTATGCATGGCATCATGGAAAATCAAAATACAACATTAATGAACATAGTCCTGGATGCTGCTCTGAAGTTTTCTGCAAACGTTCTCACTGAAAAAAGCAGCAGATAGACAACCTGTCTAACTCCACACACTATATTTAACAGGAGGGTTTCCTTGTGTGCATTACTTTCTGTTTCTGCTAAGCCTCAAAGACCTTGCAGAGCAAGCAAACATTGCTTTCTTGTCAGCTAGCTTGGAATACTCCCCCATACTAGAATTCTCACAAAAACTTTAAGAACTTGACTTGTTGGAAACCGTTAAAAACTGCAGCTCTAGTTTGCACACACCTGGTTTTAGTGTCCTGAAGTGTGGAAACATGATCTCAGATACTAGATTTAACTGTTCTGTGGGCAGAGCGTGTGCCATATAGGAACAAATGGCTGAATGTGAACAGTGTGTTCCTCTCTGTCTGTGTTTCAGGGTAAATAAAGAGGTAGCTGCAGACTCCAGAGAAGCTAAGAGCTACCTGAAGAGCCAGAACACCAAGCAGGACAAAGACGAAGACAAAGAGGAGACGTCTCCAAACCAGCCATCTCCACCTGGTTCCAGGTAAACACACTCACCAGGGTTGGGTGGAGGATAGTGTAGGATGCTGTTTGTCTGTTAGCAAAAGCATGAGCATCTACAACTCATTAGCTTTTGGGGGTAACCACATTTAAGATAAGATAGTCGTCACATCTGGTCAGTCTTAATAAACACAAAAATATCTCTAATGCAGTTAGGTTAACAGATGGTAAGCTCAACCTTCGCACTGAGCACCGATGGCAATTCTTTTTTTGTTTTTAACTTTGTCATTAATTATTGGAGCAAACTCTGTTTGTCAGCAAAATAACAACACCCCTGCATGGCAGAGGTAGCAGCAGAAGAAAAGCTAACAGGAAGTTAGCAAAGATGCTGATGATTAAAACAACCAAGCACCAAACAAAGGATAGAAAAGATAAATTTACAGGAGTAAAAATAAGAAACAATTCATCTGAGTAGATGCATAAGTAAAATTATGAATTTAAATGAGTCTTAAAAACAGTAAGTGAGGGAACGTGCCTAACATAAAGTGACAAATTATTTCAGATTTTTGGATCTGCAACATAAAACCTCAGAACTAAGAACATCTGATCTGCTGACCTCAGAGAGTGCAGGGGTACATATGACTCAGCAGTTTTGAGATAAGAGTGGGTAGAAATGTTTGGAGACTTAAAAAAGATGCAGAATAAATTTTAAATGAATTTAAAGGTGAAATGGAAGCCAGTAAAATAATCCAAAAACTAAGGAAATGTGTTGTCTTTTGACCATACTGGTTACAAATAGAGCTGCAGCTTTTTGAACTGAAGTCTGACTAATTCAGTAATCAAGCCAGAATGTTCTAAATGCATGTTTTACTTCCTCAAGTTTTGCTTTTAGACAGGATGGCTTTATTTTAGACAGTGGCCTCAGCTGAAACAAACAGAATTTGACAGTTGTGTTTGCATAACTGTCTGGTTTTAGGGAAGGATCCGTTTTTACTCCTAGGCTACGTTCACACTGCAGGTCTTAATGCTCAGTTCCGATTTTTAGAAAAAATCCGATCTTTTTGTGTGAACGTTCACATTACATTTTAAATGTGACCTGCATCAGACTCCTGTGTGAACGCTCCACAGCACTGATGTGACA